AAATATACTCGATTCCATTGTGATCGATAGCTTGTCACTTTTAGATGTGAAATGGAAGTGTTCGTTACGCAAGCGCTCCTTATTGACAAGTAAACACTCGAAACCTAGTCGACACAATTTTCTCAATAAAGCCGGTGACATGGCAAAGTGTCGAGCATGTTACAATGATACAGCGATATTTCAGTTGCATCGATCGTACTTCAGAAATAAATGACAGATCAAGAGGTTAAGATCTTTAGCTAGAAATTTCGTTCGACCAGCGAGTAATCTTTACGTTTGCACAAGAACAGCGCCCGAATCGAGGGAACGCAGCATCCGATGGAAGCGAGCTACGGTATTCGCTGGCGCGCGATTTTTCGGTTTTACGTGTCGCGTATAAACGGCTCGGCCCGTTTAATATTTATGCTCGCGAACGCGATCCCGTCCGCGGCGGACACGATATCCGCCCGGCGAATTTCTGCGCCCGTTGTAATAATTAGCGGTCGGTGATGCAACGGCGATCGCCGCGTTTTACACGGTTACGTGACCGAATTAATTTTTCATCGTGATCGCGCGGTCGAGTTTTAATTAAACGCCCGGTTTCGGATAAACGCGACGGACGCGCGCGCGTAGCGGCGGTGACGCGGCGTTTCGTTCGTATAATGAGACCTCGAGAGGACGTATCCCGTGTGCGATTTGAATCGGGAAAGGGTGGAACCCGCACCGGTGCCGGCGTTCAGCGAAATGTTCGCGCCGGCAACGTGACCGTCGATTCACCGCGGAATATGCGTCGCCAGTTCGAACGTGAATATCGCGGTAAACTCGACAAATGTATGCGCCTAGAGATAATTGCCCCCATTTCCAGGAGATAAGCGGCGAAACTTTCGATAGCCGTATCTAAAAATATTGACGACTCCGGAGAACGTTCGTCCAACGATAGATCTTCGAAGGTCGATCGGCGTTATCGAACTTCGCCAGATAGCGCGTCGTTTGCAACCCCTTCTCGAGTATACACTTAATCGAAAGCGAGTCGCAGTTGCATCGAACAGCACTGCGGCTCACGATTCTCGCAGGTCTCGCGTGCGAGAACGGCCGAGCGAACGGTCCACGAAGCGAAAGACAATCGCGGACGAGGGAGCACCGGCGATCAGCGGAGCGGCAAGACAAAAGAATCGCGTGTCCGTTGTCCCG